GCACCGTAATTTTACAAAAGTAATAGAAATGTACATAAATGTATATATTATTTTTATTTACATATACATATATAACCACAATTCTTACCTATATATGTCATGTATGTTTTATATGTATGTCTATTTGTATATATATATATATATATATATATATATATATATATATATATATAGTCCTACCCAATCTGAAATCTCCAGCGTCAGGTCTATGAGCTTTTGTAGGCCGCTTTCTGATGTTGCCACTAGAATTATATCATCACCGTGTGCCAAAACATTGACTTTCTGGCTTCCCACTGTATGTATTTTATGTGACTCCTTTAGTGCGCGAAGTAATGGTTCTAGTGCCAGGTTGAAAATAATTTGAGATAGAGGGCACCCTCGTTTCACTTCTGCTCGTATCGGTATTTCCTCAGTCATGCCATTACTAGATTTGATTTTGGTGGTACAGTTTTGATAAACCCGTTTGATAACAGCAATGGATTCTGTACCGAGACCCGTCCATTGCAAAGTTTCGAACAGAGTCGAGTGTGACACAGAATCCGAACGCGTTTCTGAGATCCAGCCACGCTGCGCATGCTTCTGTTTTCCTTCGACGGGCATCCTGTACAATTGTTTATAGAAGTAATTTATGCTTGCTGCATCCTTCAAATGGCATAAGTCCTTTCTGGGAGGGCGATATGCGATCGTTTGCGATCGCCCATTGCGCCAATGTACCTACGATCGTTGACGCATATAGTTTTCCAAGTGTATTGGAGCGTAATCGGCCTCCAATTTGAGATGTCCATTGGCTTTTCTTTAATATTTATACCGTCTCTGACTGGTTCCAACTCCGGTGAGTGTAGCCGAATCTTCGTGCTGTGTTGAACACGGCAGCAGCAATATAACTTCTCGGATCTACCTTTTTTCACACATTGTGCCGGATGCCGTCTGGACCTGGCGCGGTATGCTGGCACTTGTTTAGTCTTTTCCATATCTCGTCCACCGTGAATCTGGAAATCAGCGGGTTATTACATGTAGCGGCTTCTAGTGTTGGAATCACCTCTGGAAGTCAGTAGTTTCGTGTCCCGTTTCTCCGTACGTAGCCATGAAATTTTGATACAATTGTTCAGTATCTATTGTGCAGCGGTCATTGGAATCCTCTTCTGTCACGTGTCTGTAGGGCCGTTTCCTATTCCGGCGGTATAATTTTTTATAATCAGTCTGCTACCGCCGGATCGAACTCGTTAGACCTTTTTCTGCGACGCCTTCCATATTGACTCCGCGGTCGCGGTTCTTCTAAAGTTGCCGGCTGTTCGTCGTTCTTAGGAGCTAGTCTGGTGTATAAAGTATCTAACAGAGACTCAAATTGCTCTGGGTCGCTTTCTTTGTCAAGTGCTGCTGCCATCTCCACCTGTAATATTGTTAATGGTTTTTTCTCTTGCCTTTCTTCAGCAGGCTCTACATTCTCCAGACTAGCTCTTGCCGGTAATCCTTCTGGTATTGTGGGCAGGACATTTGTTGGCCGTGGAGCTGATGTGTCAATATTAGTTATTTCACTATCGCTTGAATTTGAACGCGTTCTCTGAACGCGTTGAGCAACATGAGACGCGGCATCGTGTTCTACAATGCCGTCCGTCTCGTTTCAGCAAGTATTGTTTCTTGGCACACGCCTTGTTGCTTGCTTCAACGTGAAAAATTCTTCGTTACAGCTTTGGCATCGGAATTTCAGAGATGAATTTCTGTTATGCGTGTTCCTGTGGTACCTGAGTAGCCCATTATGGCTACTAAAATGCTTTGTTACTCCTTGGCATGTGTTGCAATAAAATCTCACTGTCAAGGCAACGTCTATGAAAACTAAATTATTCCTATTCTCGACATCTACTGGGATTGCGGAACTTGTATCCGACTCCATGGCTGTAATACAGTTTCTTAGTAATCCTGAACCTAGAGGATTTTGTTACTGGCTACTGTAGTGCCTACTTGTCCGATCGCTAGGTGAGCGTACGCAAATCTGCGTAGCGATGCGGGGGTCGATCGTATAAACGAGGTCACCCACACGTCATCTGTTATGTGTCGACACTAAAACAGTATTCTTTTAGACGAAGGGGGCGCGCCTAAAAAACTCAGAACAACCCTTATTATATCCTTCAAACAGAATGTTTAAGGAGTCTTTCCCCTTGATCGATTCGTACTCGGGGTCTTCTTCAAGACTCTTATAGAAATCGTTTATATCGGGCAGTGTATCACACTAGTGTGAGATCGCCCTATGACAGATTTCGCTCCGAACTAATTTGCGTAGTTCGAATTTCCTTGGTCCAAGGGGGCGCGCAGTGGGTGCTCCGGGGTCCTCAATTTGCAACACGAGGATCAACCGAGGATTCGACATCGCTCATGCAAAGAGTGCTATGTCCGAGACAACCGTGACACAACCCGGCCCTGATAGGCTTTTGAGGGGACCCTCTATCGCATAGGGCTCCGGGTACCACCGCACTAATTAGCGCAGGATCACCCTACTTTCTGCAATGGGCACACACCTTGTGCCTATACCGTTGGGCTGAAAATGCCAAGGCAAAACCGTAAAAGCCACCAAGTCTAACACTCGATCCGCAGAATCAAGGGGGCGCCGCTCTGAAAAGATCAGTCATTCCCAGACTCCACGAAGAATCTCGACAGGGGAGGGGGGGCACTTAATCCTTCCACTAACCTGTACCTTAGTCTTGCTCCCGTTCTCGTCCCGCTCTGGTCCTGTTTCGCTCGGTCTCACCTAGGGCTCCGGAAAGCTGCGCTTCCGACGACCTCGGCTTATAATGACCAAAAACCAAAATATAGTCTTTTTCCTATTTCCTAATTAGAGAAGCCGTCTGATTAAGCTGATAAGAAATGATAATGCATGTATTTATTGAATAATATTTACAATGATTCTTAAGGCTAGTTTACAAAGAATATATATGTAAAGTAAATCACATTTAGAACAAATAATTTTATCTAATGATGTTTTTAAATTAAGAAAATATGCTATTGTTATTGTACAGTGATATCTTAAAATAATTCATGACTTAAATATTCCATGACCTAAGATATTTTATTTATTATAATAATAATTGAGTCTAGTTTGGTCATCTTCCTCATTCCGGTGGTCCTCATTCCAGTGATCCCGCTGCTGTAGCTTCTGGTGCGGATTTTGCGTCTTGGTACTGACTATGTCCAGTGATGTGCTCCACGTAGATATTTCGGGACCAGCGGATCGTATCGGAGACCATCAGTCGCTTCATCAGCACTGCATACTTCTGGTTGATTTTGAGTGCTGCCAACGCGGTTCAATTGCGGCTGCTGTAACCCCCGAGAGATCCAACGAAAAAGGGGTCTACTGTAGTCCTGAATCCTTGGCTTTGTAGGTGCTCTGCAAGCGCCGCGTATTTATCCCTTTTCTGCTGCCTGGTTTGCTGGAAGGGCTCGGCTCGGTTCTCGAACGGCACAGCTACATCTGCTATCCATAATGACGATGTCCGGCCTCTCCAGTCCGTTGTATCCGTAAATCGGCTTGTTGGCGTATAGCGCTCCATCCGCTGGTTTCTCGTGATCAGTCTCTGCACGATACTGTTGTCTCCTTGTGATGGCTCTCAGGTGCGGCTTGCAGTGGTTAATGACGTGCGGCAGGGTCTCGTCGTGTTGTCCGCATCTTCTGCAACGCTTGTCGCCGCTGCCGAATAAACGATTCCCGTTCAGTGGTAGAACGTTGAGCCGCGCTCGATGATTGAATTTCTACTCGGCGAATCTCGTGAAGTTTCCCTGCCTAAAAAGTGGTTTTATGCAGAGGTCTGCGGCGTCACCTCGAACACTTTCTCCTGGTCCGGTTTTTTTAAACTAATTTCAGTTTGTAGAAACGGCGTGCTGTTTTTCGGAGACTCGACTCTGCATTTTCCCTGCCCACTGGTGCGTCGTCGATGGTTAGCTTTTCCAATCCCTGCTGCAGGTTGATCTTGGGTTTCAGTCGCCGCACTGACGTTCTGAGCCTCGACCACGTCGTCGTAATGTCGTTCACTGGTTTTCCAAGATCGCCACTCGATCTGAAGTTTATGAAGCCGACGATCTCCTCCGTGCTTAGCGTGTCCTCGTGTCCTACTCGTTTCTTTACGACATGTGCTAGCGTGGCTCGGCTAAAGTCTGCTATGGTCTGGTCCTTTGATGTCAGCTGTCGGTGGGCGTGTACAACTTGTCCTATAACTTAGATATAGGACCTCGGCGCTGGCTCTCTGCAGCAAGTGGGCCCATTTCTTGACGCTCCTCTTTATCTGCTTGTCGAAACTGTGAGGGATTGCCTTGGTCACGTTCCCATTCTTCAGATAAAATTCCACCTGCAGCACGATGAAGGTGTTGACTGCGTCGATCTTCTGCCATGGCGCCAGCAGCGATTTGCCGACCCTGGATAGGTGCTGCTGCATCTGTTCTAGTACGCATTCTCCTGAATAAAACATGGAAAATTCGGTCGGGACGCCTAACTGCTCGTACCACTTCTCCTGCGAATATGCTCTTAGGTTTTCTGCTTCCAGCTTGAAGGTCGTTTCGATAGCGCTGCGTCGTCGTCCGTCCACGTGCAGCGTCGCGCACTTTCTGGCGTTGAATTGCAGTCAAAACCAGGCGGCGATTGTCTCTGTCGTGTTCAGCAGTCGTTATATTCCCTCTCAGTCGGTTCTGATGATGTTCAGGTCGTCAGCATACGCCAGGACGTTGAACTTTTTTCCCTCCAGTTCGTAGTAATCGGCCGTACAGGCCGCGCGTGTAGCAGCGGTGACAGCGTTGATGTTGAACACGATCGGGGAGAGAGAGCACTGCCTGTTTTACACCAGCTCGAACGGGGATCTCGTCGGTTACTCCGTGCTCACCGCGTATTCTTGTGCATGATTCCCTGTATAGCCTGCGATTTACGGCGATGGAGTCGGCGTGGAGACCTGACCATTTAAGGGCGTCAGATATCGCCGCATGCGGATTGCCGCCGAATACGTTTCTCAGGTCTAACCATGCTATGGCGGCTTATTTCTGCTTCCTTCTTGCGTCCTGGATAATTGACTGCAGCGTGAAGTTGTGCTCTGTATGAAGCCTTTCTGCGACGGTGATATGCGGTCGTTCTTGATGCACCACTTGGAGAATCTGCTCGAGATCACCGATGCGTAAAGTTTTCCCAGTGTGTTTGACAGCGCTATCGGTCTCCAGTTGTTTACGTTTCTTGGGTCTCCGTTTTTTGGGATGAGGATGGTGCTAGATTCGTCCCAGCTCCTCGGCACGTGCTGTAGCTTTCGGACTGCGTTGAAAACAGCAGTACAGATGTGTCCTCCTCGATCGTACCGGTTATATACGCCTACGTATAGTGTTCTGTTCTTGCTCCGCTGTAGCCGCTGCCATATTTTCTCCGGGGTGAACTTGGCGCTGAGTGGATCGTCCATTGCGACCGGTGCAGGTGTTGGTACCTCAGCTGGGCTTTCTGTGACAGCATGTTTCTTCTCCTTGTAAAGTTCTATAAAGTGGTCCTGTATAGTCCGCGTTGGAATTCTGCAGCCTCTGCTTTTATGTTCCTCTGTGATGTCTCTGTAGGCTCTCGTGTTGCCCTTGTGACGTTCTGCTCGGCATTCGTTGCTCTCGGCCTGCGGTTGAAGTTATTCCTTTTCTCGGAGCCCGTTCCGGCGGTCTCCTGGTCTTCTGGTTGCAGTCTGCTCACGAGCACAGATATTTCTTGCTACAGGTGACCACTTGCAGCCTGAAGACGATCTTCTCCTGTAGTTTGCTCAGTGTCGGCAATTCCTCTTGTAGTAGAGCCGCTGCTGCCGCCTCCGCTGCTTCTGCTACTACTGCTGCTGCTACTGCCTCCGTTGCTGCTATGGCCTCAGCTGCTGCTACGGCCTTCGCTGCTGCTACTGCTTCCACTGCTGCTGGCAACTCCTCACGCGTTCTCTGGATTTGGATCCTCCGCACGCGTGCTGGAGTAGTCTCTGGCGTGCATCTGTTATTCTGCTAGCCGGCCCGTTGTCGCTGCACTCCGTTGACCTTTTTATGTGTGCTGTTGCACCCTTCAGTGTAGTGCGGACATCTTCGCGTTGGCTGCACCGAAACTTCATCATCATACCTCGGTTGTGCTCCCTCCTTAGATGCTTGAGCAGGTCATTTCCGTCTTGTACTGCCGCGGTACATGTAGGCAGGGCTCGCAGTTGAACGGCGGCACGAGCGGTGCATCCAGCACAGTATAGGTCGTCTCGGTCTCCTCCAAACTTTCTTGTCCAGCATTGTGTGTTCCTCCTCGTTCTATCCCGGGGTGAGCATACTAGTCGATCCTCAATCGCACGGTGAGCGTTCTCGGCATTCTTCTATCCTTCGGTGAGCGTAACCGGTAGTCCAAAGCAGACGGTCTAGTGCACAGGTTCAGGTCAGGTCTAGGGACCCGTCTCCTTCTCAGTTATATAGTTATATATATATATATATATTGTTATGTAATAACATGAATTATACGTGCTCTATACTATACATTCAAAGTCCAAGAGCATTGCAAGGGCAGAGAAGTTTTCCAGAACGCGCCACTTCCGGGATATTCTCACTTACTCTTAGCAATAAATAGAGTAAGATTTCATATTGTAACTTAGAGTATGTCTTAGCACGAATCTATGCTAGTTTGTGATGTGAAGTTATTAAAGATGAAATAAAGTTATAGTCCAAATTAGATTCAGTGTTTGTATTCTACTTTGCGTAAAGACATTTTTCAGCCTATACCAATATAAAGTGCTCACGGTTCTGAGGAGACTCGTACCAGTGTTGTTATTTTCTATTATAATTATAAGCTCTGCCCACGACACCAGAAAAGGGTTGGACTGATCTAGCACCCCATTGGAGAGTGGATCGATCTACATTTGGAACCCCACCCAATCCAATCAACACACCACACAACATCTCATATCATCTCATGGTGTCAAGCGGTGGTTTTACCTCGTGCTGAAGTGCAGTGTTGAATGTGCTGTGAGTGTCGAGCAAGAAGCTGAGTAGCAGAAATTTTGCATCCGGCGCTGCAGCAACAGCTGAAAACCAGCAGGATCAGGACTGGCACGAAGTATCAGAGGCATTAAAGGTGGCGGCATACCAAATAACACCGTGAGAAAGGCGACTTTACGCAGAGAGACAAGGACATACTCTCCCCAAGTAAGTGAACCATTTTCTATTTCTCTGGATTTCATTTTGGACAACCTACAACCCCAGAAAGATGACGACCAGTTCACCCAGAAGGATCTCCATTTTCGCTGATAGAATAGATAATTTTACTTTAACTGATAATGACCTTAGTATTAATAAATATGCCATAAATCTAGCTTTCCAACAAATACCCAAATTTGATGGTAAACCAAATAAATTAAATAGGTTTATTTATACTGTCGAAAACTGTAGACAGGGTTTGAATGCAGCATCTTGTGTGGAACTCCACAAAATGACGCTCAATAAATTAGAAGGGGCGGCTTTCCAATATATTAGGAGATCAGATGTTACTAGTTAGTCAGAACTTAAAAATCTTCTCATAGATAGGTTTGGCGAAAGGAGATCCATCGCCGAATTACAGGTAGAGCTGACAAATTTGAGACAGCATCCTGGGGAAAATGTAAGGACTTTTTCAAATAAAATAGAAAGGTCACTTGGGCTCATGTACGACCAAAGTATTTTGCTAGACAACACCAGAGCTACAATACTCAAGACTGCTCATAACGATTTGGCTCTGACGGTATTTATAGACGGCCTTAGGCCAGATATTAGGATGCCGGTTAGGGTCGCAAGACACAATGATTTGCAAGAAGCAATTTCAATGGCACTTCAGGAGGAGTGGAATCTGGAGCAGTCAAAACATCAAGAAAAGAAGGTGAAGATGGGCTTACCTGGTGCGGACGGTTTTAGAAGACATTCCAATCAATTCTGCAAGAGATGTCGGATCCCGGGACACCACATTTCCAACTGCAGGAGGAGGACCATGTTTGACGTAAACAGACAGGCCAGGGATTCTCAGACGAATAGACGAAGCGAGCACCATCAACCTGAGACAGCACCACGACCTCCCACTCCCGGAACATCTTCAGCAAATCGTGTGTCAAACGGACCAACACCAAAAAACGGATAGACGCCAGGAGTATATGCGACCAAGATTACATCTGCGCGGATAGGGTTTATACAGTCTTCAGAAGAAATTTGGTAGATAGCAACTTGGTCAAAATTAGAGTAAATGATAGGGAATGCATGCTCATTGTGGATTCAGCGAGTGATGTATCAATAATTAAACATAATATTTGCTTACCCCAATGTATCCAAGCGGAGGATGTGTCACGATTAAAAGGAATTGCAGGCGAGTACGTGTATACACAAGGCTCAACATTATTAAATTTCAAATTTGGTGATGTTGACTTTGAACACAAATTCACTGTAATACCCGATAACGTCAGACCAGATTTTAAAACATAAAGCCCAATTAGATTTTTTCTCTAACACGTTCACGTTACCAGCTGATAATAAACTAATTACTGTTCCACTGGGCAACATAACATACACCTGCACGACGCATCATTTCGCTGACTCCACAGAAACCGCGCTGTGTCGGGGATAGCGTTACGCTGTCAACGACACCGCGTGTGGTCGTGCGCATTGTAAATAAACAATAATCTAATCGCAAGAGTTTGAAGAAATCAAGTTCGAAAATTAATTCTAAAAATTTTAATGAGGGTAATAAGTCATCAGAGCCAGCTATAACAGAGGGCACAGGCAGTTGTACTGAAAACGTAGGTGACTCAGTTCGCGACAAGGAGTATCCTAGCATGAGTAGGATACGCTCCTGTGACTTTTGATGATACAATTTATAATTCGGCTTTAAATGCCGTTCCCGAGGCGAAATGCTCGGAGAATTTCAAAGTGGCTAATGCCATTATTCAGACAAAAATGTCTGTAGATAGTCCGCTTAGTTCAGTTTGCCTTAAGCTAAATAATGATACTAATAATGGGGCTTCTGTTGAAACTGCAAAGGACCATAATAGGGTATTGACACCCGATAATAGTCGTCATAGAGATAGCAAATCCGTGACTGACCACACAGCTGGAAATAATAGTAATGATTTAATTGATGACTTGGCAAAAGCACATGTAATTTCTCCTAGGACGGAAACGACAGTTTTCTTCACTACCGACGAGGTAGACGATCTACTTTGCATAGCTGATGAGATCCTGAAAGGAGTCTATGTTGCTAACTGCATTTTAAAACCCTTTATTAATAAATTTTATATAAAGATATTAAATACTAATGATTTTGAAGTAAAGATAAATAGTAACTTTAATTTTTTGAATTTGCACGCGCTTAAGGATTTTCAGATTTTTAAAATAGATAAACACAAAGTTGATTGTGATTATGATCGGATTAGGAAAGTTAAAGATAGTATTCGTACCGATCACATGAATTCTCAAGAGAAGGAGTCTATATTAAGCATTTGCGAGGACTTTTATGATTTGTTTTATTTGAAAGATGATAAATTAACTTTTACCACTACAATTAAACATTCCATTATTACAACTTCCGAGAAACCCATTTATTTAAAGCAGTATAGACTCCCCCATGCTCAGCAAGCTGAGATCCAAAGGCAAGTAGATGATATGTTGCAAAATGACATCATCGAACAATTTGACAGTCCATGGAACTTCCCATTATTAGTTGTTCCTAAGAAGGAGGATGTAGATAGTAACAGGAGATGGCGCGTCTGTGTCGACTTCAGAAAGTTGAACGAAAACACAGTCAGCGACACTTATCCGTTGCCAAATATAACCGAGATCTTAGATCAACTGGGACAATCTAGTTTCTTTTCCACTTTAGATTTGGCCAGTGGATTCCATCAAATTGAATTGGACCAAAAGGATCGAGCAAAAACAGCCTTTTCGGCTTGTGGAAAAAAATTCCAGTACAAACGCATGCCATTCGGGCTTAAAAATGCTCCAAGTACTCTGCAACGCTTAACAAATTTAGTTCTGGCTGCGGTGGAAGGATTTAAGGGTCTTGTGTACATGGACGATATAATCGTATACGGTAAGACGCTCCATGAGCACAATTCCCGGTTGCGTGCTGTTCTTCAGCAGCTACGTAACCACAACCTGAAGCTTCAGCCTATAAAATGTGAATTTTTAAGGCGAGAGTTGACATATTTGGGGCATATTATATCCGAGAAGGGCGTTACGCCCGATCCCAAGAAGGTACAGGCAGTACAGGATTTCCGAGCGCCGAAGAACCCAAAAGAAATAAAAATGTTCCTGGGTCTTGTCGGATACTACAGAAAATTCATAAAAGATTTCGCTAAAATTGCAAATTCTTTAAATATATTGTTGAGGAAAGATGAACCGTGGAATTGGGGACCCAAACAGGAGGTATCGTTTAATGAACTTAAGAAAT